AAATGTCTAGGTGAATGTAAAATTGATTTATATGAAAGAAACATTAATCAACAATGTGTAAATAAAACGTTATCACCAAAACATAAGAAATTTCGTTATCATTATGCCTATTCAATTAGAACATTTCTAAGTGATAAAAAGTTAAATGAATGTGAAACAATGAGTATTACAGGTAGCAGATAAAATGTAAATATAATATAGGGTAACCCATAAAAAACTTACCCCTTGTTGTAGTAGCCTTTCTATAGCCTTAGAATTCAGTTTTTGATCCGATTCTTTTTGCGATAGAAAGAGCTGAAAAAAAGCTGCTTATATTTTTGAAAAGATTCTACCATAGGAAGATACTAAAAACGATTTATTAAGGTCGCCCCCTCCCCCCGTCAGAAACCTATCTCTGGAACTATAAGTCCGAACTTGACCAACATTTTAGGAGATGCTGATCCTGTGAAAGTATGGTGATGAAATTTTTTCTGTGGCTCCATCATGTATGGTTTGTGAGATGTCGCCACAATAGTGACTAAATGTGGCTGTTCGTAGCTCCTAGATTTCTCAGAAACGAAGCGTTGTGGAGAACTCGGGCTGGTCTTAAATTGGCGAAAACACATGTGGCTAGAGGCTAATAGAGCCCAATTTTTGATATTTTTCTTTTCAAATTAATGGTCAGCGTCAAAAGTCCAAAATAACTTTGGTAAAGATGTTTTACTAATCACAAGTCTAGACCGACTATCAAAAATCGGGCCCTATTAGCCTCTAGCCACATGTGTCAGCTTCAATTTAAGACCTTCCCGAGCTCTCTGCGATGTTTTCTTACCGAAAAATCTGGGAACTACGAAATGGTGTTACGGTGAAAGTCGCTTTCAAGATATGGTGACGAGTTTTTTTACACACGATCTTTGTACGCTTAGTACTGATTGCTGTTATATGCCTCTTCATTATACTTTACTTTATTTCTTATTAAGAAAGCAAATTTTATCAATTATTTAGGGATATTTTTGTAGCCATTTAAAAGCTCTATCTACTGAATATAATCGATCGTAATTAAAGCTAATTAAGTGGTAAAATAGTGAAATTCATACCATACACCTCTTTATACAAAAGTATGGAAGACTGCTGTTGTACGAATATCTCTACAATGTTACCAATAATTGCAAATGATTTATATGTTACTTCAGTTGTAAACACTTATAAGTACACTCTGGCAATTTACAGTCAAAATAGTGTTACGACTGAGTTATTCCAGTTTTATAAAAAAGTTTTATAAAAAAAGCAGCAAAGTTCATTTTGTTCCATCACAGATTTCAGATTTAATAAATCTTTTTTAGCATCTTCTTATGGTAGAATCTTTTCAAAAATATAAACAGTTCTACTGAGCAGCGTTTTTTCAGCTCGTTCTATCGCAAAAAGAATCGGATCAAAAATTGAATTCTAAGGCTATAGAAAGACCATTACAAGAAGGAATAAGGTTTTTATGGACCACCCTGTAAATAGAAAAACTAATACTTGATATTATCCAAGTATTGTAGTAGTATGTTTAAATTATTTAATTCGATCTGTATTCATTTAACATAGTTTTAATTGAACCTTTTTTTATCTTTTGTTTGATATTTAAGGTGAACAAGGATCGATCGGATATGCTTTAACATGTTATATTCATTCACATGCACAAATTGTTCAATCATTAATTGATTATTTTAAATCTATTTCAAATCAAACATCAATGATTGAAACAAAACTGACACCAAACAATAAAATTCAATTTGATTTTGGGTATGATAAACATTTGAATTCATCACATTTAGTTCAAGTGTATCGTTCAACAGTTGGACAACTTCTAATAGAAATCAAGTTTTTATGTTATCCTTTGAAAATAGTGGCAAAATTGATTTGTTTACCATGTCCACCAGGTACCTACATGATTAAAAAACGTACGTTAATTTAATCATCACAATGATTCGAATTTGATTCCTACAAATTTTTGGTGTTTTTTTTTTCAATTTTAGAGCATTTTTCTAAGAACAATATTGATGAAGACGGTATTGAATGTCATTCGTGTTCCAAACAACATTATTCATCATATGATGAAATGAAATGTTCTAATTGAATAGGCATAATGATAACGAAATTTCTTATGTTTTGGTGATAACGTTTTATTTACACATTGTTGATTAATGTTTCTTTCATATAAATCAATTTTACATTCACCTAGACATTT